TCGAGTTGCAATTTTTAAATTTTGTATCAATATTTTGGAGACAATGCTTATTTGATGACAATAAGGTTTATTCTGTACGATTCCACCTTCAACAACTCAGCAACTTATGCTCTTTTAGGTTTAGCCTTTTAAAGACTTGTGCTGGGAGAAAAACAGCCCAAGTAAGGAAAGCTGCAGTTGTTTCATGGCCAGCAATCGGAATTGTCATTAAATTCTCCCAAAGATGCTGAAGGAAATCTATTCAATGATTTTCTGTTTTAAATTCACGGAGTACGATCAAGATGATAGGAATGACCATTTGTTTATGGAGTACGAGCAAGATGATATGATATTTAACACGGCGGCAGGTATAAGTGAAAATGGATCACTCGAATTTGATATGTCTCAACAAGAACAAATGCATGAGATTCGAGAAACTGTTGCTAATGCAATATGAGATGATTATAATGTATGACATGTCGAAGTACGACTGTTGATCTAATTAACATAATGTCACTTATTGAACTTTCAGTGTTGATGAACATTTATGTTAATCTTTTGTGTTATTACAAATGTTTGTAATTGTGCATTTCTTTTCCAAATATTAAGTCAACGTTTTCTTGTAAAAATGAATTGAAAAATTGAAAACTCTGGTAAACATGTTTCCTAATTTGGAAAATAAAAAACTGGAAAACGAAAACAGAAAACTGGAGTCTTGAAAACAGAAAATGAAAACAGAAAATTGTCTCTGTTAGTAAATAGGTCCTAAAATTTCCAGATTTATACTTCAATTCCCCTTTAGCTGCACATACATGTTGTTTGAATCTTAAAAAATTAGTTTCTGTAAGTGAGGTCCTTTCTGCAAATTATATTTTTAATGTGAAGCCATTGAAATGAATGTAAGAAGTTGTCACCCCAATAATAATCTGTCTAGGAGACTTTTTCGACGATGTGAGCTAACCTCCAAAAGGTAAAAACTCTGTTTACTAACAAAGATATTTTCCTGTTTTCTACTTCTGTTTTACGTTCTCCAATTTTCTGTTTTTGTTTTTCAGTTTTTCTATCTCCAGTTTTCTGTTTCTATTTTCTAGTTTTCCATTTTCAAATCTAAAAACATATTCATCAATTTTTTCACCTAGTTCTGTGATCATCCAGAAGACTGGCACGTTTACTTCACGGGTTACTAAATGGTGTTTATTAAGACCCGCGTTAATAAGCGACGCATAAAAAAACAATATTATAAGATCATGTTTATTTCAAAAGGTTTAAAACACCGTTTAACATTAAAATGTCCAAAATAACCATATACATATATAGACACACAAACATTCATGAACACAAATATATAATATAATATGTGGGGTCGATCACCTCGTACGTGTACCCATACTCCTAATCCCTACCCTGCCCCTATACCTCGTACCCCCACCTTACACCTTACACCCAATACCACACCCTTGACCCATACCCCTACCTTTATCACGATCTTACACTCTACCCATACTCCCCTTTCATACCCACCCATACCTACTCGTAGGGGTCGGGGTAGGGAAGGAGGGTATGGGTGGGGGTGGGGTAAGGGGTATGGTCGGGGTGGGGTGGTAAGGTTTACGGGTACGAGGTGGGGTGGGGTAGTGGGTGGGTTAGGGTGGTGGTTAGGGATAAGGGTGGGGGTAGTGAGTAGGGGATGGAGTAAAGTAGAGTAGGGAGTTGGGATAGGATGGCGGTAGGGTGGGGCCGAGGTAGAGGAAGGGAAAGGGTAGGGTGGGGAGTAGGATGGCGGTGGGGTGGATGGAAGTAGGATGGGGCCGAGGTAGGGGCATGTGGGAAGGGGTAAGGTAGGGGTAAGGGATAATATACGAGGTGGGGTAGGGTAGGGTGGGTCGGGCGGGGTTGAGGTGGTAGGGGGTGGTGGTAGGCTAAGGTGGATCGGGGTGGAACCGAGGTAAGGGTGGGGGTAGGGTCATTGTAGGGAAAAGGGGTATGCGGGGTGGGGGTAGGGTGGGTAGGGTAGGGGTAAGGGGTAAGGTACGAGGATGGATGTACTAGAATGGAATCGACATTGGAGCGGGTCCGGACCCACCACTAGCATCTGCGTTTCCCAAATTTGGAAAACTAGTAAAAATCATTTCTCCAAATCATTAAGGAAAAGAGAGACATGTCTCATTTTTGTTTTGGAAAACGGTTTTGTAAACGCGTTTTTCTGTTTTCCTTTCTCTAGTTTTCCACTAATTTTTTTTGGTAAACACGTTTTCTGTTTTCTGTTTTTTAGTTTTTCAACTTTCTGGAAAACTGGAAAATATCTATGTTAGTGAACAGACCCTCATCTTCTCCTCTTGAAAAGTAAATGAAACACAACTCATTATTATTAGAATAATGTATGAAAACTCAAAAATTGTGGAAATGGAACTTATACTAAAAAAGTCAAGTGACAAGATTACTCTTACTTTGCATTATATTTTCTAGGGGTGGGCAAAAATACCGAACCAGCATGGTACTGAAGCGGTATGGTACCGGACCCAAAAACAGGGTTTGAAATGGATCTCAAATTTTTTGTCCCGAATCGGACCGTACCGGTTCTAAACAATGTCATGACCAGTTTTCATAAAATAAGAACTGGTACCAAATCGAACCGGACCGAAGTATGATTTAATTAATTAAATTTACATTTATACCATTATACTTTGACTAGTGCCTTCACACTTTCAGCGCCATTGCTAGTTCATAGGAAGTCTGATTCCGGATCGATGTGTGATTTAATTATTTAAATTAGTACTACTATAGTTTATCTGAAATTTATTAATTATGTAATACTACCTCCGTTACAAAATGATTTGCAAAATTAACTTCTCTTGGTTGAACAGTTTCATTTTATTCACTTAATTAGTATGTCAAATTTTAATTATATTTAATCTGGATTTTGCAACTTTGAAGAGCTTTTAATGTATTTTCTGAATATGTAAATTTTAATTGTTAAAAATTGAATTAATTATGAATAAAGAGGATTTAACTTTAACATTGATTGACCAAAAAAATATTAACTTTGCATATCAATTTGGGACGGAGGGAGTATGAAAATTGATAAATTATGTGATATGACATGGTATCGTCCCGTTTGAAAATGGAACCGTACTGAATGGATTTAGGTCTAAGACCGAATCGAACCGAACGTTTGAATAGTCACGGTACGGGTACATGTTCGACCAAATATTGGACCGAACAGGATCATGCCCAACCCTTATATTTTCTGCTTAAGAGTTAAGAAGAATCATGTACTACGTAACATATTAAAGCCATGGTTTGAAAACTTTATATACACAACACACATTGAGCACCACCCCAATAATGCTACACGCGTTACAAAAACTAGGATTTTGTAGTGCAGATGCAAAAAATACCGATTAATGGTGGTAGTAATCAAGTGCTTAATTCCACAAACCCAAAGGATAAAACATGATCATGTTTACTCCTTTTGCTTATGAATTCCCTACTACATGGTTGAACATTTTCTTAAAGAAATATTGCTCTAAAAGGGACTAAATTATTGGTGAAACTCTTAAATAGGACTAATCATATTTTTTTGCCCTAAATGGGACTGGATTACCCATTTACCCCTATTCTTTCCCTTTCCCCTCTTCCTTTTCTTTTTCTCCCCTGAGGCGCATCTTCTCCCCCTTCTCCCCTGTGCATCTCCCCCTTGCGCAATACACCTCCTTCTCCTTCGCACTGGAACAACCAAAGCGTCGAGCCTGCCGCCGCTGACGTGAAGTTCTCCGCCACTGCCCAGTCGTAGCCATCACCGCCGGCGTCGCCGTCGCCGTCGAGGATCTTCTCTTCTTCGAAGGTAGGTTTTCTCCTTCCTCCCCTCTTCTCCAGTTCTCTCCCTCTTCTATTTCGTTGCAGATGCTCGATTTCTTCTTTGTTTGGTAAAAAATATCAAGTTCAACACTGAAAATGCCATCAAAATGACTTTCTTATTTTACAAAAATTTTGCATTTTCCTTTGAAAATGCCATTACAATGGTATCCCTGATTCATCTTTTCGTTGCATGACCAAAGCTCTGTTTCATATTTGGTTGTTAAAAAATTCCATATCTCGTTTGAAAATGCCATAAAAATGGCATTCATCCTCTTAAAAAAATCATGTTTTCCTTTGAAAATGCCATTTAGTTGGCATTCTCAATTTATGATGGCATTTTGATAAAATGTTGGCATAACCGGCGTCGTTGGCCGGATCTGCAGCGGCGGAGGCCGGGTGTGCAGTGGCGGAGGTCGGATTTGTAGTGGCAACGGCCAAATACAATTACAGTGGCGGAGGTCGGATTTTCCAAGCTTCAAGGGTGTTTTTGTCCAATTACAATTAATAACTCCTATTTTGGGAATTTTTAAACTTTAGTCCTATTTTGACAATTAAAGATGTATTTACTCCCATTTAGGTAATTACCTCTTTCTTAAAGTTCTATTTTAAGATTGACACGGCAAAGCATATTTTCTGAAATCGATTTTAAACCTATTAATAATTGCATTGATGGAAAAAAAGGATGACACCCCATTCTTGAGGCCCCCAAACCCGACCGAACGGTACGTTGGGAGGATGTAAATTGGACTATAATTTCAATCTGACAGAGAAAGTGAGGCTCTGTCCCAATTACTTGCAGAGACCCTATACATTTGTTTAGGGCTAACCCGAGACCTAACCCCTCCCTTTCATTGGAAAATTGACAGAAGTGCATAAGCTGCACGCTTATACATGACAACCATTATTGATGTACACACCCTTGTACACATCTTATACACACCATGTTTGTGAAGCTTTTTTTTTGTCTGTGAATCCGGTTCACAGACAATATTTTGTTTGTGCAAAATATTGTTTGTGAATCGATGTTCACAGACAAAAAAAAAGTTTTCACAGACATAGATGTGTACAAAATGTGTATATGAGTGTGTATAAACATCTTTTTTGTATACATGAAAGCCCTGATACAAAAAAAAAAAAAATTATCGATCAGCGGGCTTATATATGTTTGTATGTGGGTCTAAAAGACAGTTGGTCGTCCAGTGTGCGGGAAGAGCTGGTCGTGGGAGGAGATGGATAGGTAGCATGTATAAATAGGGGGCAATGAAGTGAAGGTCCAGGAGCGTTGGCACTGAGCTACCTGGATATTTCACAATCCACTGCAAATCTTCTTATAATCTTATGTGCTTCCACGACAGGCATCGCTGGAACTTGGAAGACAGTATCGTTATTAAGAACAGTTTATAGGTTATGATCAATCCATCTCGAGGAGAGTTAGCTAGAATCATAAGTAAAACTTTGATAACCGCAACGAAAGAAGTCGCCCCAAGTCAGACATGGAAGTGGACGCCGTCGCTGGAGCAAGCTTTGCACCGCCTTGGATGTCGGCAATTACTCAGTCCAACACTAGTTGCCCGTGTAATCGACCCATACCTCCTCCATCATCACTCTATTGCTTTGGGCTTCTTCGACTGGTCCTCTCAGCAACCTGGATTTTCTCACGACTCATTTTCCTATCAATCAATTATCAAAGCCCTCTCCCATTCCCGAAACTTCATTGCCATTGAAAGGATCTTGAAGCAGAGCAAATCCCAGAAGCTCATCCTTCCACCTTATGTTTATCGAGCTGTCATTGCTTCTCAGATCAGTAGTAAGAAAACTCAAGTTGCGTTTTCTACTTTCAAAGAGGTCAGCTCCGTATTATCAGAAATCGGACCCCAAACTTGCAATTCGCTTCTTGCTGCTATATCCTCTGAAGGAAATCTTTGTGGTGCCCAAAATGTGTTCGATGAAATGAATCTGAGAGGTGTTCAATTGAACACACTTGGTTTTGGTGTGTTTATGTGGAATTTCTGTCGCTATAATGGACTGGAACTGACTTTGAATGTGCTAGAGGAAGTCCGGAAAATTGATTTTTCTGGAATTAACGGGTCCATTATTGCTGTTTTAGTTTCTCATGGGTTGTGTTCTTCTTTCGTCTCAGAGTCCGTTGTGGCTTTGGATGAGTTGAGGAAAAGAGACTGTAAACCCGATTTTATAGCATACAGAGTTGTTTCAGAAGCATTGAGAGGAATGGGAAATGTGGTTGATGTGGAAATGGTTTTAAAGAAAAAAAGGAAGCTGGGAGTTGCACCAAGATCTAATGATTATAAAGAATTCATTTTTAGCTTGATTTCAGAAAGACTTATATCAGAAGCAAAAAAGTTGGGAGAAGTAATCATGAATGGAAATTTCCCCATGGATGATAATCTACTCAATGTGCTGATCGGATCTGTTTCGGCTGTTGATCCCCATTCCTCCATGTTATTCTTCAATTTCATGGTTGACAAAGATGTATTTCCCACCCTTCTTACTTTGAACAATCTGGGTAGGAACCTTTGCAAGCACGGTAAAGTTGACATGTTAGTTGAGGTTTTTCGGAAGCTGTCTGCTAGAGCGTATTTTAGAGATCAACAAAGTTATAAATTGATGGTCACACTTTTGTGTGAGGCGGGCAAAGTAAAGGAAGCTTATGATCTTCTCTGTGAGATGAAAAGAAAAGATTTGGGTCTTGACATATCATCTTACAATTCACTTCTACAAGCCTGCTGCAGTGAAGATTTAATACGGCCTGCAAAACGGCTATGGGATGAAATGTTTGCAAATGGTTGCCCTGGCAATATAAAGACATACAACATCCTTATCCAGAAGTTAACAGAAGTTGGTGAAGTTGAAGAAGCTTACACGCTGTTTCAGCACATGTCTGAAAAAGGGGTAGCACCTGATGAAACAACATACAAATCCATTCTTAAAGGATTCTGTCAAGCCAAAGATCTGACCCTGGCTCTTCATGTGTTCAACATGTCTGTTGCTCAAAGTAGTCTGCTTGCGCAAAATATTTTAGGTTCATTTGTCCTCTATCTTTGTACTGGAGGTATGGCTTTTCACATTTCACAAAATAACTCCTCTGTGAGAAAATGCATTTTGGTCCTGCAAAACTAGTCCCGTTGGAATACGTGTCACAAATTATACCTATACCTCTAAAATTTCGACAATTGAGTCAATTAGTCCCCAAACTTCCGAAACATTAAAGTTCATGAGAAAATGTATTATTCATATTAGCGATCAAGTGTAGTGGTAGCCAACATTGTGGTTCAATAGACAATGTTAGTTGTCATTTTTTTTCATTTTTAATTCTTAGAAGTGCATTTTTTAAATCCAATATATTTGACATGTGACTTTGGTCTCCAATTTTCTACTGTATTTTGCAAAGTCTTGGTGGTTCCAGACTAAATTCTCAGATATTCGAGAAATAGATCTAAAATGTGAAAAACAATTCAAACTTACAATCGGACTAGTTTTTCCAACCTCCTATACTTGCACAACCAAAAATGCATTTTCCTAACTCCATATTATGATGAAGAGTACATTTCAACATACATCCTTGGCATTTTCAAAATATCCTGGTAATCCTGCCATCCTGGTTAAGGGATTTTATCTAATGTCTGTAGGTTATGTGCTTCCTTCTTTAAAATTGCTTCAGAGTCACAAGAATGATATTGCATCCCTGGACTCCCATCTCACAGTATTGAGATTTCTAACTGATGCTGGGGAGGATTCATTGGCTCTGGAACACTTGAAGTTGGTTAAAGACAATTCTCCTTTCATGTTACAAGCTCTTAAGAATGAGATTTTATCTTTATCAAGACCAAATTCAATTATGGAGTTGCTTGAAGAGGTGCAGAAAACAGTCTAGTGTAACACTTGTGGAAACATAGATCCCAGGGGACAATGTTGGACGGGCAACTTTCTGAGATTTGGGGCTTTGAATTTCGAGAAAAATAATGATCAAACTGGCGAGACTATGCACTATGGTTATAGACAGCCTATAAGTGCACAATGAAGATAAGGGAATTAGATAAAGATTGTGATATTATTAGGGTATCTTTTTTTTTTACCAATTTTTCATACCCCCCTATCTTTTTTATTTATTTATTTGATTTGATTTGTTACCTTATCTTTTTTATGTAGTGATTATATTGCATTAGAATTGCAGGTGTAGAGAATCTGCCGGTGTATACTTAATTGCAATTCATTCTTCCAAAATGAGTTTCCCCTGTCATTGCACAGTTGATCACAACCATCCATCTGGAAATGATCAGGACTGTGAGTTTTAGGCCAGCTTCTACAACACTTTTTTTAAATACACTAAAGTCTTAACTGATTAAGATCCACACTTAGTAGCTTGCTCTTTCTCCATTTGACCTTCTCTCCTTTATGTCTCTACTCTCTACTTCATATCTCTATCCACACTTGGTGAAGAGACTCTCTGTCCATATCCAAGCTTCTACATTTGGAATAAAATTTGCCTCACTGAGCTCCATTTCCATCCGCTTCTTCATTGTGACTTGTAACATCTCACCGTCTCTGTTCTACCTTATATGTCCACCTCTCAACCATTGACAGAAGAAATCTTGGGTTTTCATCAGGGGAAATGAAGACAGGTGGATGGTCATTTAATAACAATCTGTTATTATCCAATTTATTCATAGTTCCAATTTCTATATAAGGTGAGAAATGAGCGATACAATCTGATTTGGAGAAGCTAAGTAATATGTATCTATAGAAAGTGAAAGGCTGAAAGCACTAGTGCACTACCCCTCCTTAAGCTAGCGCTGTCAACAATGACATAGGAAGATCATTCTATGTTGGGAAAAGGAAGAAGTCCGAATCATCTCTTCAAGAAAAACGCTTACTAGGCTGGAGGGGACGATGACTTCAGTGATTATTCTGTATGCTTGTACGATGGTATATAATAATACAATTATGTGTATGTCGAATAATCAATAGTGACAACTATTCTATTTTCGCTTCTGCATTTTATGTTTTTTATCGTTTGTAATAGCTATAGAAATTCTGGTTTCAGTAAGTGTTCCATTTTCTACTACTATTTCTGTACAAAAAAATGGCAAGGTTTTCTGCATTGAGATTTTGGGAGTACTAGGCATTTTCGAGCCGTTTGGTAGCACGAAAATCGGCTGATTTGGCCGATTCTACTGAAATTTATGAAGTTCTATCTGAAGTGGCTGCATTGGCTGATTCTGCTGATTTAAGAAAAAAATAATTTTAAAATACATTGTATTAATAAAATAAAGAAAAAATTATATGTAAAAATAGCTAACAGTAACTTCAGCCAATACAGCTGGAAAAGTAACTTCAACCTTACTTTTTCTGCATATTACACAATTCAGCGAGTGGAAACAAAAATTATGTGTTTGGTAAAAAATTTGGCTGATAAGCCTGATAAGCCGAAAAACATTGTTGTCAAACGACCTCTTCCTTTATAAAGAATTTGAAGAAGATGTGATCTTCATAAAGCAGTAGATCTGTGATATGGGTGCAAATTGAGGAAGAAACTTTAATTGCCAAGCTTGAGAGTACTGGGTAAGTGATCATGCAGCATCAACTGAGACAGTTGGACAATATAAAATTGGAGAGTAAACATGTATATTTGTTTGAGTTCATGAAATGGTGTGCTCAATATTTTGGTTGCAGGTCTTCTAGGTTTTTAGTATGGTTGGACTCGGGTCGGGCCACCCGGCCCGTGGACCGGCCCGGCCCGCTACTGTGCGGGACCGGGACCGGCCCGGTTCTCGGGTCCGGGTCCGGGTCAGGCCTAGGCCCGGGGGGTAGGGCGGGTCCGGGCTCGGGTCTCAATTTTGGTGAACCGGCCCGGCCGGGTCAGGCCGGGGCCCGGGCCAAATTGAATTTTTTTTTTAATTTTTTTTTCATTTTTGGGGTTCCACCCGGGTTGGGCTTGATGGGTAGGATGGGTTTGGGGGGTTTGGGAGGGTGGGGGGTGAGGGGGGGGGGGGTTAGGACAGCAAAAATAAATAAAAATAAATTCCAAACCGGAGGCCCGGCCCGGCCCGGACCCGGTGGCTACCCGGGCCGGTCCCGGGTCCACTATTCTTGAACCGCCGGCCCGCCCGGGCCTAGGCCCGACCCGGCCCCGGCCCGGACCCGAGTCCATCCCTGGTTTTTAGTGGCCTTGGTCCTTTTACAAAAATAAAATGAGATCATTTCAAAGAGGTGGGCATTCTTTTGTGGTAATCTCACTAAAGTTTTTATATAATATTCCTAAGGTTCCAACAGGGCTAACCTATTTTTTTAGTCTAGGGCCCCAGTTATTTTTTCTAAAGGACGTCTAGTGTTAAAAAGTTGTACCAGGAAGGAAGAGTCAAAATGTTTCTTTTTGACTTTCTATAACCTTTTGCTGTTTTTCCTTTTTTTTTGTTACACCGCCCCCTGTCAGTATTATAGTCAACATATTTTCTATTCTGTAATTTTGTTGTGTTAGGATGAGAAAGTTCCGTAACCAATTTTTGATTTGGCTGAAAAGAGTTATATGTACAAAATACAGAACTGGATTTTAGAGCGCAGACTGGTTGTTCCCTGGATATTTACCATGAACAAAACATTAAAATGCATACATTTGGATGTTTATGTCAATGCAAGGTGGTGGATCATGTATGGGGAAATGTTAGGGACGGGTTAAGAGAACCAGAAGAAGAAAGAAAGAAGAAAGAATGAAGAACAAAGTGACCTTGAAAGCGAGAATAAGAAAGGGCAAAGAAGAATGGTTAACGTTGAGGTTAACATAGGTTTAACATTGGTGAGTTTCTAGCCAAGTGGGAAGAAGTCATTGAAGTGTTACAAACATAAGAGTTGCACTCATGAAGTCTATAACGAGAAGTGTAGGAGTAGAATATTGATTTACGGACATTGTTGGAGTGAAGTGAAGGACATTTGAAATGAAAACACCCACTTACAAGGATGGATTTAAGGGCGTGGGGTGACTGCTCCCTTGTACTTTCAAAAATTTCTATTATACATATAATATTTTCATAAAATTTTTATGCTTTAATTATTGGTAGATTCTATGGTACCCATAAGGTACCATACCTTGTCCACATGGACTAATGAGAATGTAGCAGTTGAATTATTTAAATCTAAATTAAAAATGATAAAGTGGTGTGGTCCAATCAAATGAATGGTAGGTATGGTACTCCATTTTTTAGAAGGGTACCAGAGTTGTCATCTTAATTGTTAATATTTTCATATAAATTTATATGTGTTCGCCCCCTTAATTTTTAGTTTTTCAGAATTTTATATAGCATCTAAAATAATTTGCATAACTTAAACAAATAAACAATAGAACAACTCATTGTTCAAGACTTAGGTTAGGATACTTATTATATAAAAACTCTTTGTTTTGTAATTTTTAATTATCAGATACATTGGTAAAACAATTTTTAAATCATGTAAAGTGAATCCAAAATATAAATATTTGGTGATGACACTTAACATTAAATTAAACAATCGATTTACTTCTTACTTTCTAAAAACAATTTATTGCATAGATAATAAATTTTAACTTATTTTAGCATTAATACAAATTTAATAAGCACCATATATATGAATCTGCAATATAATATTATTTTTAAAAATGAGTCTCATACATACTATTGTAATATTAAGAAAACTTCTCGTGACTCACGAACACCCTCCTTCGTAGACAAAAGTGCAATTCAAAAATTAATCATTTATTCCAAAGAGATTCATGTGATTAAACAAAGCAGAAGTTTTTTAAAACGTATTGGTGGACCGTGGATGTATACCTTTTAAACTTTTCATATTCAAATAATTTGATAAAATATTATATATCCTTTTTACTTTCAAATAATTTCCGTTTGATTTGTCATTTTTTATGTTTTAATGTATCTATATTTTTTCTAGAGCACTTCAATTATAAAATCAAAGTTATTTTTCATTGTCTAAACTTAGAATGTAATAGATTTGGACGTCATCATATATGTATTAATGGATTTTGTTTTGGATAAAAAATAGCCGCAGAGTCCTACACTAGCGAAAACATTTCGCTTCGTTCGCTAGCTACACTAGTAAAAACAAAATCGCCCCTTTACACTAGCGAAATTTTTTTCACCTCTTTCCCAACGAAAATTTTTTACCCCTCCTAACTTGAAATCATGAATCCGTCTCTGCCCACATATTGGCCTGGATAAGACTATGTAGAGGATATTTTTGACTATAATGCATTTTCTCCTCATATACGTGTATATGACTAAAAAATGTTATTTATAAAAATGCAACCTCCTTAATATAGTGAATTAATTAATAATTTAATTATGGTAACTTATGTTTAAAAGTTCAACTTAAATTATTGTGAGACTAACTATCAATCATATCCTTATAAATAAATTTATTTTAGTAATATTTTTCTAAAAAATCTCTTTCATTAGTAATACTCCTAATGAGAGATCTTGTATGAAATTTTGGGCGTAAAATTTTAAATTTACTACGTTGTGCTATTTTGGGGGTGTTTAGAACTGATTATGCTTTCGCTTCTTTTTTAAAACAGAAGCAGAACAAGAATGAGTTTTTAGAAGTTGGTCACCCCCAGCTTCTAAGAAAACTGATTCCAGTAGTAAATTAGAGCACCACAATCACTTCTGGATGTTCACACAAACACTCCAACTTTTGCTTCTGCTCCCTAAAGAAGCAGAAACAGTTTTAAAAATCAGATTCAAGCATCCTTTAACACGAACCAACACTTCTCATTAAGGTTGTTAAAATCTCGACTCAAATCGTAAAATCGTAAAAAAATCGTACAAAATCGTGTAGAATCGTTTAAAATCGTAGCAAAATCGTAGCAAAATCGTAATAAGTTTTTTTAGTGAAAATGGTTCAAATTTGTTAAAATTAACTACTACAAATTGATGCATAATTACATTAATAATAATATCAATAGTATATTTAAAAAAGTAATGGATTCCTTTGTTATTCACTACATTTACATTATTAAAATAGTTTATAGGTCTTGTTTTGGACCTCGCAGGTAAAGTTTTATGTAATGTAATGATATGATATCATTAATTTGCAACTTAATATTAATATTTATTTATTTTATAATTATTAAGATATGTTTAATAAAATTTTACGATTTGCGATTCGATTTTACGATTTGATTTTCAAAAAATCTACCGATTCAATTCAAAAATACGATTTTAACGACCTTTTTTCTCATCATCATGGGTCATGTTCTATGCCGAGTTACACGGTGGATCCTTGAGTTAACCTCAGGGTGAAATTCTAAACGCACACACAAAATTCCTATTTACAGCTCCTTAAATAAAATTTAATAAATAAAATTATTTCAATTTATCCTAATTCACGTACATTACTATATATGGAGTATCAATCAATGATGCTTTACTCGGCGTAGCTACCCAGTCGAGCTCAATAAATCATAGTCTTTAGTAGAGATGGCAATTGTAACCGATCCGGTGGATACCCGCACCGAATCGCCCCGGTCAAACCGGGGAAAACCGCATTGACCGGGTAACGGGTATGGGGCGGGGAATACCCGTTTTGTTTTTACGGGTAACGGGGCGGTTACGGTTTTATACATGTCCACCTCATTACCCGCCCCGTACCCACCCCGTTTATTTTTAGTTATATTTTTATTACATTCTCATCTATTAGTTGTCCCACAACTAAAAGATGGGAATTTTCTATTTTCTTTGTGTATATATCAATGACAAATGTACCAACTCTAGTGTACAAAGGAAAGTTCATAATAGATCTTAATAGTCTTGTTTGATTATTATCAGATTATTTCAAGATTAATTATTTTTCAGATTAAGTATTTTTAGATTCAAACTCATTTATTTTGTCTTCTTTCTCGTCTTGTAGATATGCGAAACTTTAAAGTGACGTTTGAGTCTAGAGTCGTCTAGGTGATGCCATTTTTTGCCTTTTAAAACATTATTTTTATATTAAAATACCAATGACACATTTAATAAAGTGATTACCCGCGGTTACCCGCGGTTATACCCGTTACCCGTTGGGGCGGTTATGGTTTGGGTAAAAATTACCCATTGGGTAATGGGCGGTTATGGGGCGGGGGAATTACCAAACGAGGCGGGTACGGTTATATGTAAAACCGTCCCCGATCCACCCCGTTGCCATCCCTAGTCTTTAGCCATCTTAATTTGCCATCAGTTTTTTAGTACCCGTTTTCATTCAAATCAACTAAAACCATATGAGGAGAACTTTGTGCAATAAAGTTTACCCGAGAAGATGAACTGTGTCATTAAAATCAAAATATGTTCGGAAGATTAAAACAAATGTCAGAAATCTCTAAAATGAGCAAACATGTGCAGTGAACAATAATAAGCGTCAGGTTTCAATGGATGATCAGAAATCAAGTCGTTTGTGAATAGTGTTTTGAGCAAGGTTTTTTCTGGAAATTTGTTCAAATGGATCTAAAAACCCAAAATACTAAATTAATCTTGGAAATTGTAATAGGGTGGATTTCCTCCCAAAAATCCAAAGAAAAGAATTTGAGTGTGGGAAGGTTGGTGTAGTCCAATGGATGACAATCCACCCCCAAGTCTCTCCTTTGTGGGAGATCTTGGGTTCAATTCAATCAAGGGGAGATGAGTGAGGTCTTGAACAAGTTTCAACCACACAGTTTTTATTTTATTAATTCACATTAAAGTCAATTTTGGTGACCGTAAATAGAATCAGCCTAATCTTATCTTGACTCAAGATGTTGGTGACTCACTTCCTCGGGAGACGAAACAAGAAAACTCAAGATCGATCTCATATGCTATCTTTCTCTCCTATGTTCCTATGTTACATGAATACGGAGACGCTAATACAATAATTTTAAAAATTATAGGATACACGTGGGACATATTTACAAATAATAAGAATAATATAGATATAATTTGCAAATATGTATAATTCAGAGGCTCATAAATAAAATAATAATAATAGTGCCAAAAATTAATAATTATAATAAAATTCAAAGATTAAACAAAAAAACTAAACTACTTATATTTCGATTCAAATAATTGTTTTGGTTCTCTATTTGCATTTACATATAAGTCTTTTAACAAGAATGATTTCAATTAAAGCTCATCAAGCGACAAAATGACAAATTATAGTATTTCCATATTTTCCGTACTCACGAAATAATCTTTATTAATATTCCACATCTTGTGATCGCTTGTACGACTACTAAATTTTCATCATATCGTGTATGAAATCAAGGTTATAAGATTAGATATGATACGTGTATGGGTTCACAGATACGGGTATTAGAAATATCTATATTTTTAAAAGCAAGTTTACTAATTTTATTAAATTACGAATGCAGACCCAATACGTACATGACACGTACCTATGCTAAAAATATGACTAATATTTCACTATTTTTTTAAAAAATGACTAATAGGTATCGTACTATAGTGTCACAATCACTTAAATAAAAAAATGAACATAATTATTACTATAACTATGACTCCCTCCATCCCGCACTGAACTTCTCATTTTCCTTTTTTGGATGTCCCAGAAACAAGTTTCCATTTCCTTAAATGACAAATTAATCTACATCAAAACAGTATCAAACAGTGCAAAACAGTGCAAACAGTGTCGAAACAATGCAAAACAATGTCGAAACAGTGTAAAAATCGTAATAATTATGTATTTGTTTTCTAATTATAAACCTCCTCTTTAAAGGCATTTATTACTCCGTATTTATTAAAGATTAAATTAGGCCTGTGATCGGTTCGGTTCTTGTTAAAATTCGATGGAACCGTATATAAATTGTAGACGTTAAATTCGGTTCGGTTCTAGTTAAAAATGCAGTTGTTAAATTCGGTTCGGTTCTAGTTAAATTCGGTTTGGTTCCTACATTTTTTCGGTTCCTTGTAAAAATTTATTATCCTCCTAAAATGAACACATTTTACCTTCAATTACATAAAAAATTCAAATTTTAAATCATGAAATTATGACCATTACATTATACATGCATGATATCTCAATGTTTAAATATAAAAAAATGCCAGTGCAACATTAAATTTAAACTTAACAAAAATCTCGGTTTAAAATAGGCATCAACCGTAGAGCAAAAAGGTTAAATAGCTCCAAAGTACACATCCAATAGCAGGTAGTTCAACCCCAAAATAATATTCTTCTACTAGTAATGCACAATAAGTAAAAAGTACGTAGTAATAAACAACGTAATCAATAGAATATTAATTCCTTTTTAGGTTAACTCTAATAACAAATACAATTACAAAAAAACAATAAATATAAAAGTGGACTAAAGTATTAAAATAACAACTATTCGGATTGGCTTGATCCACAATATATAAGGTATATTATGCAAAACAATTTTTTTGACAAAAATTTTCTGCCCGGAACGCCGTCTGGCCACCTCCATTTGATGTGCTTTCATGTAGATTTTTTGATAAAATTTTGTGATCTGAAATGTATATTATATATACCAAATTTTAGCTCAAAATGTAATCGTAAAGTGAGTTAAATAAAATATCGAAACACATTGTGTTTTTATATATATTTAGGCGTAATGCTTTTTAATGATTTATTTAACTGACTACCCGGTTTCATTTTAAGCTCAAATTTGGTGGATATAATCATTATTTTATGAACAACAAGCTCACAAAATTTCATCAAAAAATTCCACCCAGAAGCACCTCAAATGAAGATTACTCATGCAATGTATAAGAAATTTGGTTCTTGACTAGGAACCGGAACCGAACTGGAACCGAACCGGAACCGAACCGATGATATACTATATGAACCGAACCGAAAAAAGCTGAAATCCAAAATTATAGGAACCGAACTGAACCGGAAATTTCGATTCAGTTCGAATCTGTTTTCCCGGTTTTACGGTTCCAAATCCTGGCCCTAGATTAAATAGTGCCGCATCTTATTCAACTATAGTCAAAACTTTATCTAAATCCTCCGTATATATCTGCCAAAGAATCTGGGATTATTAGCTGCCCCTGCTGTTTGAAAACATATTGACAAAATCTTCCTGCAACGTAAGCTCCTCTGTTACTCTCCTATATTTTTCTGAGAGAGAGAGAGTGAGAGCAGCACAGATGGATTTAATTATATGATTCCTGAGAAGAAAAAATCTGCACTTTTCTGGGGATTCCCAATCTTGGTCTCTAAAAATGCAATCTTTATACGGGCTCGATGTTGATTCAGAGGCAGGGAATTGCAGAAACGGTTGCGGCTGCCAATCCAGCGCCGTGAGCGGCGGCGGCTACGGTGGCTGTGGTAGCAGTTCATGCTCATTAGACGCCGAGAAGCTCCAGCAAAGGAGGATTTCATCTGGGTCGTCAGAATGTTTTGTGGAGGTGGATCTGGAAGCTCCATCAAAAGAGGAAGCAAAATCACATTCTAAGAAGGATTGCAGAATCTGCCATTTGAGCATAGATTTGGAGAGTCAAGAATCAGGGGTGATATTCGAACTGGGTTGTTCTTGTAAGAATGATTTGGCTGCTGCCCATAAGCACTGTGCAGAGGCTTGGTTCAAGATCAAGGGAAACAGGTAATTCAGCTCATTCATATATATTACAATGATGGTCTGTTTATGATTTTCTTGGTTTTAGATATTGTTTTGGTAAGCTTCAATTTCATTTTTCCCTGTATGGAAATTTCAGGTGTTTTGCCTTGTAGGGTTAAATCAATTTTTGTTGCATCCATATGATTCTTTTTCATACACAAGGATTGATTCAAATCATGATTTACACAATAGACTTTAGCAACCTTTCTTTCTTGATGGTCTCAAAAAGTTTTCCATTTCCTTTCTAAAGCAATCAATTCATGATTGCAATCATTTCTCAATTTGACTCACACAACATCAACTTGACAAATTAAGTGGAACGGAGGGAGGTAATACAAATTATCCATTATTGGTTAATGATTATACCTTATCCTATCCAATAATTTATCCATTATTGGTTAAGATTTAAAGATAGAAGAATGAGAATTATGGTTTGATAACTATTTTTTGACATAATAGAGTCATTAATAAATACTCTTCCTGTCCCACTATTATCGTCTCATTTGTTTTTTTTCATCTGTCCCACTAGTTTTGTCTCATACCATATTCGATAATATTTGTGTAACTCTAATTCATTCTTGTTTTATTCTTATTTTATCAATTCATCATCAACCACATAATTTTATTTCTCTTAAAAATTGCATCACTCTCTTTTATCCCAATCTTAGAGGGAGGGATGTAATACTTTTTAATAATCAAACTTGAATACTTTTAATTTTGTAGGTTCAGAGCCCGTTTGGTAACACTGAAATTGGCTGAATCGGCTGATTCTGCTGAAATTTATGAAGTTCTGGCTGAAGTGGCTGTATTGGCTAATTTTGATGATTCATGAAAAAATAAATTTAAAATATATTTTATTAATAAAATAAAGAAAAAATTATATGTAAAAATAGCTAAAATGGTCCTCTACAGTAACTTCAGCCGATACAGCTAGAAAAGTAACTTCAACCTTACTTTTTCTGCTTATTACAAAATTCAGAGCGTGAAATCAAAAGTTACTTGTTTGGTGAAAAAGCTGGCTGATAAGCCTGATAAGCCGAAAAAAGGCTCACCAAACGGGCTCTCAATTATGTGATAATAAAAATAAGTTATATTGAAATCGATCACGAACTCCTTATATGAAATACGTAGTAGTATTTGGTATTAAAGTTAGCTCCTTCCAAAAAAAAGTTAGCTGGTTGATGAGATGGGTAATGGGGTCATGGGGACCGGGTCTTAATTAAAAGATGGCTGATTAATCGGAACTTAAAATATATCTATATTCATTCTCAAAAGCTTGTTCTTTTAAGTTCATGTGAAAAGGATTTGATACTGCCAAAACTCCAAAAGAAAAGGATTGGTCAGTGGAAGCTTTAATAAGAGCAAACAATCGGTTAATGATGTGAAATGCAATGAAAAATTAATTCTAACCGTTTAATTTACGATTTTTGCTCCAAAATAATTTTGGACTCTCTGATGTTGACATAGCTTAATCAGTTGATATGTGAATGAGCTGAAATGATTGAACAAAAAGTATTTGATAATTTCATGGCGGATTTAAGAGGTCAATCTTGGACATGCTCTATCTAGCTAAAATTTTAAAAATGTTTTAATTTTTAAAGTAAAAAAATTTGTGTATTTTTTCTCCAATCTTTATACGAGCCCCAGTGTTCTAGTCTCGTCCTTGGATCATAATTTACTTGAGTGGAATGAGTAATTGGATGTGTAATTAGCTAAAAGGATATTGTGTATATTTTTTAAATAGAGATACAAAAAATGAGAGTAAAAGGGACATTTCTTTACAAAAAGTTATTTCGAAGTATTTTTCTTCTTCAAAACCTGATAAGCCATAATAGCTATTGTTTTGATAACACTGAAATCGGCTGAATCGGCTGATTCTGCTGAAATTTGTGAAGTTCTGGTTGAAGTGGTTGTATTGCAAGGACGAGCTACCCATTGGGTTGGGGTTAGTATGCCTGGGGTGGCATGGGCTATGGAGGCGAGCCAAACGAATGGCTGGGACATACCAGAGTGCTGATCACAGAAGAAGGACTAGGCTATTTGGTACAACCACATTGGGTGTTGACTGCTTGCGATGACCACGGGAGGAGCAACTGGAAAGAGAGGAACCAGGTCATGTGGTTCCATGGTGAATCAAGGTAGTGCCGAAAGAGCCAAATTTTTCGGCTTTGCGAGTTTATAATAATGCGACCTTGGAGCGAGCTTTGTAAAAGAGAGGCAACAAGTCACATTGCTGATGATGGAGGTCACCATATCATATTGTTCCGGGAGACGATTTACCATTCAGAGAATGAGGTGATGGTTGAAGACCGGATAACCAATGTTCGCAAGTTGGTTATAGAGAACTTTGAGAGCCCTGCAGTAGGTGACAACATTGGGAAATATTTCCAAGATGAACCACACGAGAGTTATGATTATCTTGAAAAATATGAGTGAGCCGGTCCAAGGCCTATTGAGCGATAGTATCTAGTTCAATAATCGTATGGAGAAGATCATGAGAAATCGTCCCATAAATCCATTGCAACCCGATAGCATCAAGATGATGCCACAAAGCTTTGGCATTGGCTTCGAGAACGTGTTGAACAAGAATTTGTATAGAGGCGAGAGTATCTGAGGCATCATCAGAAGGAATAATATGATCCAAAACTTGGTAAACATGAGCTATAGTTTTGAAAAGCCCAGTCCAGACGGAGTATTCAACATTTTCTATATCCAAGGTGATAGGAACCAAGTTTTTGAAAATAGAAATGGTAAGGGAGTATTTTGCCTCTAAGCTATCAGTCCGGACTATTCTTAGCATTGCTTTGTCCAATTTTGTGCCACTTCACCAATTAAACGTAAAAAAATACCTTCTTACATGGCTCCGTGACGAAAATAATATATATGCATCAATTGTCAGGATCGCGGGATGCATGACCCCTTCAAGCCGCATCACATGTGTCACTTTCTCAAATCCTTATATGGGCTCAAATAGATCCCTCGGACGTGATATCATTGGTTTTCCACTTTGATTACATGTATTGGTATTCACAAATACTTCTCATTCCTCACTTTTCAACTATCATCATGATACTCATATTGCCTGTTTGCTCATGTACGCTGATGATATGGTTCTAATAGCCTCTATAGATATGTTTCGGCAATCTTTCATAGTGCAATTGGGTACTCAATTATCAATGACCGACTTGGGTCAATTGAATTATTTGCTTGGCAACCAGTTACATGTCACTCCTCTGGTTTGTTCTTGTCCCAACAGAAATAAGCCTATGGGATTTTAGCTCGTGTTAACCTTACAGATTGAAATACCATGGGTTACTCCGATTGACACTTTTAACACTCTTAGCCTCCAATGGACCTCTGATTGATGATCTTGTTCTTTACCTTAGCTTGGATGTGGCACTCTAATACCTTACCTTTCCCTCGCGTCCCTCATTTCCATGCCCTCAAATACATCAACCAGTTTGTCAAAGGTACTAGCCATCTTGGTCTTCATCTCCAGTCAACTCCTATCTCTAACTTGGCTGCATGCTCCAACACTGATCGAGGCGCTGTGCCAACACTTGACGTTCTACATCGGGGTACCGCGTTCTGCGTTTTTTGCTGACAATCTCTTATCTTTGTACTCCAAACGGCAGACCGCGTTGTCCCTCTCTAGTATCGAAGCCGAATATCGAGTTGTTGCCGAAACTTGTTGGCTTCATAACCTTTTGCGTGAGCTTCTTTGCCTCTCACCAAGGCTACTATTGTATATTGTGATAATATCGACTCTATTTACATGACACACAATCCCATTAATCATCAATGAGTTAAGCACATTGAAATGGATATTCATTTTGTTTGAGATAAATTTGCATGCGGGATTGGAGGTTCGTGTCCTTCATGTCCCTTCTCGACATCAGTTTACTATATATTTATCAAAGGACTGCCCCATTTTTTATTCGAAGAATTTTGGTTCAGTCTAAGCAATCGTTAACCTCCCGCTTTGACCGTGGGGGCGTGTTAACGTATACATGCATTGACATTCATAATGTTGCAACATACACATGTATACGCTCTTATCGTGGACATGCACAACCCCATTATTACTTGTTTGACTTTTCCGTATAAAAATTTGATTTACGTAAACTACTCGCATGTTTAGTAGTGTATTTATAGATGGATATATAGCTTAGCGGTAGAATAAGAACTCGTTAACATCACAAATATTATCTTGAGTTACGGAATAATATTTTACATACACAATTCTATAGGCTTTATTTGTTCAGCTTGAAAACTATTTAATCTGAGACAATACTAATTGGTAAGGTTTGATTTCTAATTGTGACATTTATGACTTTTGCTATTTGATTGTGTTCGGAAATTCCAGACAAGAGTACTACTCTCTCGAATGTGAGGAATGAGAGTTGAATCTCAGCTGTTAGATTTATGATATTGCACTAAAAACAGCTTACCCGAAAACAACTTCATGTTGCACAAGATAAATGTATTTCAGATTTTTCAGAGAAGTATTTAGGAAAATGCCGCGGTGCTAGCTTGCATATTTTAGTGCAACATGAAGCGCTTTACTCAAACATAGTCGAATACAACGATTGAGATTTATTGTCTAGACAAATGTATTACAGATGTTTTTAGTGTATTCTTTCCAGCACACAATAACCTAATTTTTAAACCTTTTTAATGTAATCTTTTCCATTTTTCTCATTTAGCCCCTCCCGCTATTGTTTAGTTTAGTAACTACTCTTAATTCAACCAGGTTTTTGGATTCACCCGCGGGGAGGATGACTATCAGTTATATTTCTTGCATTGTTATCAAATTAGTTTTTCCTCAAATTGTCCCGTAGAATTGCTAATCACTGGTTTATTTATGCATTTTCTTTATAAATGCTATTATCAATTATAGGACTTGTGAGATTTGTGGATCAATTGCCTCAAATGTCGCCTACACGAATGTGATGGAGCCAATTGAATTGTGGAGTGAGTCTGATATTGCTGTTCGGGCAGCAATAGCTAGGGCAGCCGCCGCAACCCGCGTAGAGGCCCCTCGACGCTTCTGGCAAGGTCATCGTTTCCTCAACTTCTTGCTAGCTTGCATGGTCTTTGCCTTCGTCATTTCATGGCTCTTCCATTTCAATGTCCCCTCCTGAAATGCTCATAAACTATGTATGTATCATTTCATTTGTAAAATGTGTAAATGCAACCTTATTTAGTTGTACTGATTGCAATTTCTCATCTAGATTTTCCAATTATTGAATGAAGTAGATTGAGCAATATCTTCGACACATAGAAATAATGGGTAAGGTTTTTTTCTCTCTATTAAGTCATGTATGAGTTAAGATGTTTGTCTTGATAAAGTGATATTTATATATGAGGCTGTTTATTTTGTGTACTTAATAAACAATTTGAGTTGATCAAAATAATCAATTTAATATTATTAATGTGTTATAGTAGTAAGTTATAGACATTCATATATTCCAAAATCGATTCAAAAAATTTGGCTAAATAAACGTCTTAATAGGCATCTTAGAGGGAAAGACTATTATTATATTATAATAACATAATAATTAAGTCAGTTTTTTAATGTGAATTACTCTTCTATTATTGCACGGTAGATATTTTAATGTTAATTACTACATATCCATATCTAGATTATACTTTATTGTTGCATAACATATATGGACAGATAAACTTAAGAACAATAAATCATACTCCCTCCCCCCTAAGACAATTTCCTTTTACTTTAGAAAAAATTTCACTTTTTGTCCCATGACTATTATATCACTTCCACATTTAGTCCCTTACTTTCAGATTGTCCACATTTAGTCCATGACCATTATCCCCTCACCACCCCTCGTCCTTCCGGCCAAAATTCCGTCAAATTTAGTACACTTCTCAACCTCAGAATCAGTCTTTGCATTAAATTTTGTATCAGGTTGAGTTTTTCATATCAATCTTTGCATTAAATTTGGTTTTCACACCTAAAATTTGCATTAAATTTGCCAGAATTTTGGCCGGAAGGACGAGGCGTGGTGAGGAGATAATGGTCACGGACTAAATGTGGACAATCTGAAAGTAAGGAACTAAATGTGGAAGTGGTATAATAGTCATGAGACCAAAAGTGAAATTTTTTCTTTACTTTATATATCTAACTTTTACTCATCAAATTTGAATTATATTTTTGCGACTTTAATTTGTAGAACTTTAATGTAGTTTCCGAATATACTATCACCATTGTAAAATAAATGCAAGAATTCACTTTTCACGTTTGCCTATGAACAACTTTGACCATTAATATATTTAGTTCCCTCTATTATTAAAAAATTAAAAATATATATTTTGAAAATTTACAATGTGACAAATTTAACAATATTTTTATAAAAAGAATTTATTAATACATTAATAAATAAAACGTAGTCAAAGTAGCACATGTGAATAATGTAAAATTCAACATGTTACATTTACTTAAGAAGGGAGGAAGTATAAATTTTATTTGCTAAAAATAATCTCAGTGTTGACAGGGATCAATTAACTTTGTCGTCGATCAAACATCGTAAATCACAACTGGAAGTTCTTTCTGGTCGGAGAGAGTAATATATTGACTAAGACAAATATCAAGAACTAGTGGGTGTAGAGGTTCATCCCGCACCTTGACTTAAGAACTTGACCTCTAATGCTCATATTAGTCATGATTACGATGCTTTACAAGTAAAAACGACATGAAAATACAAAGAAAGTGTTAAAAATAATTAATGGTTGCACGAAGCTAGTGAGCTTTAGATTTCAATAACACAAAAAATTATACATACCAAGAACAAATATAAAAACTAGTAATGAACTAGTGGATTAAATGTTCTGTTTTTATGGATTAAGGGGGTTAAATAGGCTAGAGAATGATTTTTGATGGTCTATTCATGATCTTTGGTGAGTCTGGGAGAAATTTCTATAAATTACCCTCCATATATCCCTTCCCCCAAATATCTTCATTTGAGCTCAAGAGTATCTTACACTTCGTACTTTTTTCTTTGCAAGTGAAGGTGGTTCCGCCGCTGGACCAAGGCAGCAGCTCCTGGGCTATTTAAGAAAAGTAAGGCTGAATTCAATGCGGAAAGCTCACACTTATGGATTGGAACACACAATTAAAATCATCCCAAGGTGTGTGTTCGGACATGTAGGACGGAGATTGAATTTATCTCTTAATAATTCCTTTGATAAAATGCACAAAGGTACATGAATAAAGGAATTACCTATATGATCTTGAAGTGTAACTGCGCTTCAAAAGGTTTGGGACTTCGCTTTTATACGATCATGAATGGGATTAGGACACACATCTTTATAATTGTATCAAGTTTGCATTCTAGTAGAGTATAGAAACTTGTATGTATTTTATTTTCAGGTATTTAAATGGGTTGACAGGTTCAATCCATAGGACACCTCGATTCTCGAATATTTGGAATGTGTAAAATATTAAAATGAAAATTCAATCGTATTAACATTTTCATTTATGTACAAGTTTTGGTTTGTAAACTTTGTTATGTCATTTCATGAGTTACACTAAAATGGGGGAGGATTGTTGGTGATTTTAGGTCACCGACCGTTTTGTGTAAAATGACATGAGTGCCAATGAAGATTAAAACTATGATCTAATACAAGTTAGTTGGTGTGGAGTGCACACTTATATATACGAACGAGTTTAATCCCAAAGTAACCACGACAGCGGAACTCACGGTAGAACACTTAGTAGACCAACTCTGTGGTTCTAGACCAAGCTCTAGAGCGGTTGAGGCAATTTCGTGCAGTTTTCCAAAAACTGCCACAATTATTCCCAAACGGGTTGTAACTGCTTGGAACGGTTGTTAGAATATTATTTTGTTGTGTTCAAATTTATCTGTAATTTATTTAATGAGTCTTTGTATTTAATTACTTTAGCTGAGAGAGAATTAGGCCCATTTAATCTAGCTCTAATTAAGCCCACACGCCTAAAGCTGTTGTTTTCTAATTGTAATAGGGCTGACCAAACTACTCCCTATAAATACAGGAGGGGTTGGTCGAAATCAGCTCTAAGTCTCTACACATTACATTCCACATATTATTCTCTATAGAGTCAGTAGAATAGAAATTCTTTCTCTAGCTTATTCGTTCGAGTACTGTGTATTTGTTCTTCATCGAATCATCATTATGAATACACGGTATATGTTGATGTTGAATTTCTCTTCTACTGTTTAAATTCTTTCTATTATTCATAGATTATTCGACTGTTGTATCTGGGCTACGTTCACACAATTGGTATCAGAGCCTCGGCGCAATTCTGTTCTTGAGATTCCTTGTTTTTTTCTAGAATTAATTTGATCAAAATCATAATTTTTGGTCAGATTAATTGCTAGATTTCTTCTTGGAAACTTACTGTTTTAGAAAGTTACTGCTACAAGGAAGGCTACGGAAGAAGAATCCTAGTACAATTTGAGTTTCCATAATCTCGCTGATCCGAAATCCTAAAGATTTCGCATATCCGAAATCTTAAGCAAGTCCGAAATCCTGAGATCTCGAAGCTCCGAAATCTTAAACTCTGCAGGTCACCGAGTTTCTATTTTTGGAAACCCGAAATCAGCATCCGAGATTAGGTTCCGAAATCAGTGCATCCGAGATCACAAATTCGGACATCCGAAATCTGCTTATCCGAATTCAGCCTTTCAAATTTATAATTTCGGACAAACCAAAATCTTCTTCCGAGATCTCATCCGTAATCCTTTTAAAACAGTACCGAAATCTTATTTCATCTGAACTGTTCTCGCCTTAAGATCAACAACAGTTATGGAAGCATACACACTTGGAAGTGATTCAAGACCTCCTCTGCTCAGAAGGGGAGAATTTGCTGTCTGGAAAGTCCATTTCCTCAATTTCATTCAAAGCCGAGATAATGGGAAAAATATTCTTATCTCTCTTAATGAAGAACCACTCGAAGTTTGGGTTGATGTTCTGGCAGCCTCAACAAACAATCCTCCCACACCAGCTGGTAAGACATTAAAATCTGAAGATGATTACACTGAACCAGAAAAGCTTAGAGAAAAGGCTGATCTTCTTGCTGCCACTTATCTGCTACAAGCCATTCCCAATGGCTTGTTTATGCAAATTGATAGTCTCACTACTTCTAAGGACTTGTGAGATGAAATTCATCAGATCATGCAAGGCACGGACGTCGGAATCAAATCCAAACGAGCTCACACACTGACTGCATATGACTCCTTCGCCGCCAGACCTGATGAAGAGCTGGAAGATACCTATCAACGTTTTCTCATGGTCCTTAATGAGATGAAAAAGTTCAACATCCGCAAAACCAATATGGAAGTTAACCTTTGCTTCCTAAGATCTCTCAAGCCCGAATGGAAGAAAATAGCCAAGCGAATCCGACAAAACAAAGATCTGGATGAGCTGACCATACACAATCTGTATGATTGTCTAGGGGAATTCTCTAAGGATATTCGTGAAAATATCAACTCTTCAAAGGGAAAGAACATTGTTGACACACTTGCCCCTCTCATCTGAGAAAAAGAAGAAAGAAAAAGCTCCTAAAATTACCTTTGAAGATGACTCATCCGATGAAGAGAAGAACATGTCTGATTCTGACCCGGAGATTAATGAGCTGAAGAAAGAGCTGGCTTTGCTGACCAACATGACGAGGAAAATAAACAAGAAGTTCACTAGATTCAGAAATCCTGCTACAAACAACAAACAAAGAACTTCTTCCTCAAACTACTCTGAAAGAGTCAGCAGACCATCTGATAAGGCTGTCAGCAGTGATCCAATGAAGTGTTTCAAATGTGGAAAGCCAGGACACTTTGCTAAAGAGTGCAGATCTGCCAAGAAGAAGGACTTCAATTACTATACGCAGAAGGCACAACTTGCTAAACAAAAGGAGCAAGGGGTTGTCCTAATGGCTGAACATGACAGCTGGCTCGAAGATTATGAATATAGTGAGCCAGAGAATTTGGCGCTGATGGCAAGGGTGACCGAATCTGGTATTGAAAGTGATGACTCTGAAGAAGAAGACAAAAGTGGTGGTCTCCATTCTCAAAGGTCACCCTCTATGACAAGCACACATTATATCTGCCAAAGTGCCAAAGATCTACTTGCGACAATTCTGGGGCACTTTCACCGCAACAGAAAACACTACCCCCAGCTTTGAAGCCCAAATAGCCAACACTACTATCAAAATCACCCATGATACTTTCCGCACCCTTCTCCATCTACCAATAGCCTCATCTTATGATCCATTTCCTGCTGATAATGACCTACTCACCGATATTCTCAAGGTTGGCCACCCATCTCCTTTAACCCAATTTTCTGAATTCTACGACAACCTTCTACCTCGACCATGGAGAACCCTTTTCTACATCCTAAACAAGTGTCTGTTGCCCAAACAATCAGGTCATGATCGATACAATATTCACTTTCTCAAGTTGGCCCATGGAGTGATATTTTCAAAAAATTATGATTGGGCCCAGCTGATCCGGATGGAGCTTCTCGAGTAGCTGAAAATAAGGAGATCCAACAGCAAGATCAAGTACATCCCATATGTACGTTGGTTCTCAATTCTCATCGATCATTTCATGAAGGACTCCAACATTCCAAGAAGACCTGACGAGGAGTTGCTAGAACTTCCGATGATGAAATACTTAAAGAACACGGAGGATAAAGTTCAAACGCAACTATGCCTATCCCAGAGGCACTCCTCAATCTAGTTGCTCCCAATGATCCGCATGTCAATGGATACAAGTTTAGTATCTCTTCTATCCCTACGAGACAGTCAAACCCCACTGTGTCTACCCAAGGGACTTCAAAGCCGAGTGGAAGTAAGGGTCCAAGAGTGACTAAACCAAAGAAGTGGGCAGGTGAGACTCAGTCTAAGAGAGCTGATGTCTCCTCCTCCAGTACTTTAATTGTTTCATCAATCCCAATCACAGAAATACACCGAACTTAGACCATAGGTACAGGTTCTGACGTTGTCAGTTCCCGGGTAGAAGTCGCTACATTGAGTTCAATAGCGCAAAATGAGCCAAACTTAGACCACTCGACCGTCTCCCAACAGATGGTCGTTTCAACCCAACAAGGGGAACCCATCAGTGAATAACCCCACACTGTGAACCAATGCACGTTAGGTCATGTGTCCACCTTCCTAGAATATATGAATGATTAAAAGTGATATTTGAATATTGACATAAATGATATTTTCAATGGAAAAAATCAGTCGGAATTGTCTATATGACTATGAGTTGAGAACTTGGTTTGTTGGAATTAATTTGACTAGTATTAAGATACTAGTTGGACATTAAAATGAGATGTTGTTAAGATTGATCATAAGGTTGGATTGTGAAATGTTATGCCTTAAGTAGTCTTAAGAGATGCTTTAAGGTAGGAAAGTATGAACTTTAAGTTATACTAGGGGTAGGCCTTAAGGGATACCCAAGATAAAGTAAATAATAAATTGATCCTAGATATAGGATTGGCCTACGGGTGTGTTCGGTAGTCCTTGAGGATAGCCGGTTGAATTATGGAAATAAGTAAGGACCATGGCCCTTCCCGACTCTAGAGAGCGGGGTTGGATAGCATGGACTTACATCGTGATCACGGGTTAGGGTGGAATCCGAATCGGAGACCTAACTAGGCTCCGGTAGCGGTAACACATAAGATAGGACCCCGAAGGGCCTTACCTTCCTACAAGATGATGGGTATGTGTCCAGGGGCGGGATGTTGAAATCCGAACCGAGAACCTCATGAGGTCTCCGACAGCGGTAGAAAATCTTGTAGAAATAATAAGACCCACGGGTTGGGTTGTACAAAGGATAAATGCAAAGAATATATGAGAAGGGCCATGTGCCGACAAATAAATGAATTTACTTATTATAGAGATAATAAGTGGGAAATATAAATTATTATTAATATTATGATATCACCCTATTTCGAGGGTCTTAGAAGTTAAAGCGTTGATTATACTCGGTATAGTTGTCATTGTACTTGTCAAATGCTTCCAAGTACTGACCTCCCCTTCACGGGGGAGGCCGCCTCACAGTTTCAGGTAGAACTTGAAGGTTGCTACCACCGCCCGTTGCTTCGGGGAGATCAAGGGAAGAAGACTTGGTTCGTGCTTCTTCCGTTTCTGTTTTGAAAACAATTTAAATAATGCTCATGTATATTATTTTCGAATAATTATTTGGGGGCTTGTATGCCCATGTTTGCCAAAGTGTGGCATAGACACTTGTATTAAATGCTTCCGTTGTTTTAAATGAATGTTTTATATTATGTTTGTTTATGGATGTACTATGTGTGAATGGTATACAAGACGCCTTGTATAGTATGGATGAGTGGACTGCGGTTGACTATTCGTACTGTACGACGGGTTGTTGATATGTCCGGGTAGGTCCGGGGCGTGACAATTTAATTGGTATCAGAGCCCTAGTCCGTAAACATCATAATGAAGCTTCAAAGTTCTTTTTGAAAATGAA